CGCGACGTGGTCGCTGCGCGTCGACCTCAACGCCGACGCCCACCCAAGTCTTCGCCGGTTGGGCGCGGCGGCGGCAGTCGCCGCGGCCGCGGCCGCCGCTGCCGCCGCTGCCGCCGCGGTGCCGCCGCCAGTTTCCGAGGCGGCAGAGCCCTCCGCTGAGGGGGTGGTGTCCGCAGAGGCAACAAGCACGCCGAAGCGCAAGCGCAAGCGCAAGCGCAGCGGCGGCGGCGGCGTTGGCGGCGGCGTTGGCGGCGGCAAGGCGGCGGCGGCGGCGGCAGAGCCCAGGGCCACCGACGGTGGCAGCGCTGATGGGACGAGGCTGCTCACAAAGTACGGCCCGATGCGCCTCTTTGACTTTGTGGCGCCGGGCTGCGCCGTCGTCGTCGAGCAGCCGTGGCTGCGCGTGATGGAGCGCTTCCCGAATGCGATGGTCCGCCACCAGTTTGGGACGTGAATGCAACGGCGTACTCTCGCTGCTCGCCGTCGGCGACCGTTGGCGCGTGCGTGCCTTCTTGTGACCCCACGTGCGTGCGAGCTCGGGGTGTGCGCGCACCCCGGGCGCCGCGGACAGTGCGGGTGCGGGCACGGGAATACACACACACAGAGAGAGAGAGAGAGAGAGAGAGAGAGATTTTTAGAAGCCTACAAGAAATGTGACACACACAGTGATTTGGGCTCGGCAGCTTGTCGACTACCAGCCGGAGAATACAGCGCCGAGGAACCACGTCTTGCTTGAGTACCGGGATGTGGAGGGTCGCGCGTCACACCATGTACAGTTGTACACATCTGCTGATGTGTCGGTTGGAATTCTATTACGTGGTGTGCCTGTGTTCGTGCCAGTGCGCGCCAGTCCCGTGCCCAGTGTTGTGCGAGGGAGTTTTGTTGTAAGATTCTATTACAATCGTGCGTGGACCGTGTGGCCGAGGCGACAGGGCAGGCCTTGCTTGCCGCCGCTTGCGAGCGAAATCCTCTTCAACGTTCCGATGGCCTCCCACCGCATTGGCGCCCGCGTCGCGAGCCTCTCGCCAGAGCAGCTGTGCGCCATCATCGAGGCGCAGGCGGGCGCGAGCGACGCCGCGCTGCGCGTGGCGGAGGAGCACGCCACACGGCTCGTGAAGCAGCCCGAGTGGGTGCTCTCCGAGGTCCTCCTCTCGCCGGACCTCTCCCCGCACATCCTCGCCCAGCTGCCGACCAAGGAGCACGCTCTCAAGGGGACGTGCCGCGCGTGGCGCCGCGGCTGGAAGGAGACGCTGAAGAAGCGCGAGAGGCCGCGCCTGCTTGTGGTCGGCGGCCACGACAGCGAGGGCGAGCGCTTCAACTCGCTGGAGCGGTACGACCCGTCCACGAATGAGTGGGAGGAGGAGGAGGCTGTGGCGCCGATGCCGACGGCGCGAGAGTCTTACGCTACGGCGGTGCTGGATGGCAAGCTGTACGCGGCTGGCGGCCTGGACATGGAGGCCACAGCGGAGGCAGCGGCGATGGGCTCAGAGGTCTCCTCCAACCTGGTGGAGCGGTACGACTTGGCTGCGAACGCGTGGGAGGCGGTGACGCCGATGGGGGGGGCGCGGTGCGTTGTCGCCGTGGCGGCGCTCGACGGCAAGCTGTACGCCGTGGGAGGCTACAACGAGTCGTACAACGGTGGCCGCCTCAGCTCAGTCGAGCGGTACGACCCGGCGACGAACGCGTGGGAGGCGGTGGCGCCGATGGCGACCGCACGGGGTTCTCACGCCATGGCGGTTCTCGACGGCAGGCTGTACGCTGCGGGAGGCCACAACGACAACGAGGATGGCCACACCAGCTACCTCAGCTCGGTGGAGCGGTACGACCCGGCTGCGAACGCGTGGGAGACGGTGGCGCAGATGGTGACGGCTCGGTGTAATTTTGCCGTCGCGGTGCTCGATGGCAAGCTGTACGCTGTGGGCGGCTTCAACCGCAACGGCTACCTCAACAACTACCTCAGCTCGGTGGAGCGGTACGATCCGGCGACGAATGCGTGGGAGACG